TATTATCAACGATGGATGTCCTGTTGTTGCACCTTTGCCTCGGATGTTGCTTCAATAGAAACAGAACTGATTAAACTGCAGGATGATGTGGGTTTGAAGCTAGTACAGAAAAGCTCATCTCTAACTGACTTTTGGAAACAAATCGTAGAAGCCAGATTTTAAAACTATTAACTGCAAAAAAAAAAAAAAAAAATGAAGAATAATACCAAGAAAGCTTCTAGAAATTTTGAGTGCCCTTCGGGGTTAATTAAATTTAAAAAAAAAAAACTGCAAAAATGAAGACTTAATTAGTCTTCAGCGAGAAGATATTAAACATATTCTGTTGTGGTAAGACTACTGTATACTAGTTTTATTTTATATTGTTTATAAATGCAATTTTCAAACATTTTCTGTGATTCTTCAACATTCAAAAATGTATGAAAAGTATTACATGTAGCTCTTCTTATAAAAAACTTGCTCACCCTTGATTATATATTAATACAAATTAATTTAAAACTGTGAATAATTCTACGGAATTTGCTCGCCATGGTTCGTCATTTTCCCTGCGTTTGGTTTCAAGGTAAATATATTTTAAATGCATCAAGTTAACATTTCTCTCATTATTTTTTTTACACAAATCGGTTTTACAGTTTAAAAGGTATTATCCTACCTCAGTTCATTTCAAAGCTCAGTTCTATCTAAGGTATACTGCTATCCCCGCGATGCAACCCACAACAGTCGACTAACACCCAGGTACCTGCTTGTTGCCAGGTGAGCAGGGGCGGCATAAAGTATAAGGAAACCTGTCTAACGTTATCAACTGTGCTGGGGATCGGCACAGGTGATAACGTTGGACACTCAGTATGTCACCGACCGAGCCACGGGACATCTGTTATAATAGTATCGTCACAGCAATAATGATATAGTTACCGTTATAATGGAATTATCACCGTTAAAATATTGTTATCACAGCTATAAAGATAATATCCTGAGTTAGGGTGCTCTTCTGAGTCGTATTTTAGGAGAGAAGACCTAATGGACTATAACGGAAATAAGCCCCACTACCTGGCTTTTTTTTTTGGGGGGGGGGGGGTATTCTGGATTAGTAACTCTTCTTAGTAATTAACAAAAGAAAGTTTTCGTCTTTACCAGACACAAGCGCTAGATAAAAACTTTTTTTTCTATATCCTTGATGGAGACTTTCACGAGTTAGGAAGTAGTATGTCGCATCGTAGAAAAATACATACTAACAAATCGCATGTATAAATAAGTTAGGGAAGCCACAGTCTCAGCCCACCACGTGATATGAAGGTATTCAAGTTCGATCCGTGAAACGGGAGGATGACACCAGTTCCTTGAATCAAGATCCCCTCACTGGCATCAAGAAATCTCCCACGGGGGGAGGGAGAGTGTGGAGTAGAACACATATAGAGACCTACTTGTATCCCGAACGTTTGTCTCAGTACAAATTATTATCATTATTATTATTATTATTATTATTATTAATATTATTATTATTATTATTATTATTATTATTATTATTATAATTATTATCATCATCATCGGATTTAGGGGGAAGCGAAAAATCTATAAGGAAACGAAAGAGATTCTTCCCATGTGGAGAACAAGTTCAGTCCCTTGGATCAAGAGCCCCTAACACTCGTGTTATTTCGATTTCGTGAGTGTGAATGCCTTCCATTTGCCAGATGCTGTGTAATCCATACGGGCTTAGCTCGTCATCCTAGTTCAAATTAAATAAAACGAATACTTCTGTCGACATATCACCCTTGTACCGAGAGAGGGAACGGCATTTCATGGCAGCACGTTCTCACACACCACGTGTTGATATACGTTCAGATTTGAACGTTTCTCCTTTTATTTCGGCCTAATTGTTGCCGGACGTATCCATAGCTCTTTTTTAATTATCTTATTTTTGATCAGTATGCGTTTATGTGATCTGCCTTAACCTTGAAGAATCAGACGCTGTTGCAACATCAGGGAATCTTTACTATGGGAACCTTTTGTCAACAAGATTGATGGACTCCCTGTCATCCTCCACCATTCATCACTGTACCGGACTGAGGAAGCCACTTGTTGGCGAAACCTTTCCACAATTAAGATTTCGAAATATTCCAAAAGTAATTTTTCAACTTGTCAGTTTTGTAAACTATTTATATGATACCTTAACCTTACCTAAGCTCACCTGACTTAAAATAATTAAGGAGAGAAAGTGATTACGTTAGTGGGAGTTGCAGGGACACCCCCCCACACTCACCCCTGACTTGACAGCTTGGAGAGGAATCTTTAAACGATGTTTCGGTCCGTCGTGGACCATTATTAAGTCGGTCTAGGACAGATCGAAACGTCGTTGTTTAATTTTCCTTCCTAATTCTGTGTTTCTATTTTTTTGCAACGGTATTTGTGCCTAAAAAAGTTTCGTAGCTTCGCGATACACGTCTGCCAAACTTAGATGTTTTTTTATTGAAACATTTTGCCCTCTTAGTCTCTTTTTTACTGACTCTGTGGTTTTTCCTCAATTTATATATATATAATATATATATATATATATATATATATATATATATATATATATATATATATATATATATATATATATATATTTTATACATACATACATACATACATATATACATATCATTAACAACACTTCGACTAGCCAAGGACTCGAACCCATGATGTTTTGGCCCGCCTCATGGTGAGCGAAAATCACATGACGTTCTAACCCACAGGACCACCAAATCCAACAAGAACCAAGCACCCATTGAAGCTAGGTGTCTTACCCTTGGTCCGAAGACATACAGTGGTGTGGGTGGCTTTGAACTAATTTCATTCTACTCCCTGTTGAAAACCGGAAGGAACAGTATCCTCTGCACAAATTTTAATTACACTTTCAAGGAATATATGATAAACTTCTTGAATTTCATTAGGTAATAAAAAGCAGTTATTTCAGTTTTCAACTTCTCTAAATATAATTTGTTTTTGTAAGTGCATCATTTGTCTAATATATTTTCGAGATTCCCAAACATTGAAAAATGTTACAACATGACATGTTCACATTCACCTCTCCTGTTACAGGTAATATTGATAAGTCCCAGATGACCTTAAACTTTAGCTTATTGACCTTGATTTCAATTGCTCTTAGAGAAATTGAAATCACTGATTTCAATTCAATTGAGTCAATATACACAGGTGAACGAATATTTTCTGTGATGAAACTGAACAAATCAAAACCGATGACCGCCTTCTGATGCTGTCTTGACACGCTGCTGACTAAAAAATTTCATTTTCTTGAATAAAAAGATTAGTAACACATGAGTATCTTAATCGTGAGTTAAACTGATAATGCTATCCAGTGGCGTTATTAATTCAGTAGAGATTATTTGAAGGTATTGAAACTAGAGACAGTAAAAGAGATGGTAATCAGTCCCTCAGCCTGGATGGTGTTCACCGCCATAGTCTTGATGGTGTTCACCGCCATAGTTTTGATGGTGTTCACCGCCATAGTCTTGATGGTGTTCACCGCCATAGTCTTGATGGTGTTCACCGCCATAGTCTTGATGGTGTTCACCGCCATAGTCTTGATGGTGTTCACCGCCATAGTCTTGATGGTGTTCACCGCCATAGTCTTGATGGTGTTCACCGTCATAGTCTTGATGTTGTTCACCGCCATAGTTTTGATGGTGTTCACCGCCATAGTCTTGATGGTGTTCACCGCCATAGTCTTGATGGTGTTCACCGCCATAGTCTTGATGGTGTTCACCGCCATAGTCTTGATGGTGTTCACCGTCATAGTCTTGATGTTGTTCACCGCCATAGTCTTGATGGTGTTCACCGCCATAGTCTTGATGGTGTTCACCGCCATAGTCTTGATGCTGTTCACCGCCATAGTCTTGATGCTGTTCACCGCCATAGTCTTGATGCTGTTCACCGCCATAGTCTTGATGCTGTTCACCGCCATAGTCTTGATGGTGTTCACCGCCATAGTCTTGATGCTGTTCACCGCCATAGTCTTGATGGTGTTCACCGCCATAGTCTTGATGCTGTTCACCGCCATAGTCTTGATGCTGTTCACCGCCATAGTCTTGATGGTGTTCACCGCCATAGTCTTGACCAATCTCAAGCATAAACAGGAAGATGGTCACTTATATCGGAGTTGTAACCAGGCAGAGTGATTTCCTTTTGCCGGAGAGTATTATGACTCTAGCTCCCGGCCACTGAAAAGGGGGTGGGTGAATGACGGGTCACACTAAGGTGTGAATTTTTGAGGGTTCCCAGAACGGTACTCGGCAGAGCAGGGAATAGGCGTTTTTCCTGAGTAGAGAACCCGAAGCACTGTGTCAGGAATCATCTGTCGAATATATTGTGTTTTTCCAAAATATTATTTTAGGACCATCCAACCTTTTTCTTGTTTTTTGATCGTCCATGATTACCTTCCTCTCTGATCTTGGACCATTCCTTCACCTCCCCCTACCACCATTCACACTTTTTCCCCATCTCCCCTACCCTCTCATCCTAGTCTCCTCCTCACACTTATATTGGAGTCGTATGAGGTGCAGCAGTTGAAGACATCGTTACCGTGGGCGGGGCCCGCTAGTAGAAGTAGATCATGCCTAAGAGTTGGGTCAGAGGTTAGCAAACAGGTTGAAGAAGATATACTCTGTACCAAGATTACTTGGTATTACTGTATTAATAAAACCACTGGTTGATTTTTCGTCAACCAGTGGCTTTACTAATTCAACAAAGAGATTTTCTGATTGTTGAGGGACTGATCACCTCGTTTTCTAGTGTATTCAGCTTGTACGCCTTCAAATAACCTCTCTATCGAATTAATAAAGCCACTGGTTGACGAAAGGTCTTCAGAATAAAGATTCCCATGTGTCTGAATCATCTTGTCACTATTTTATACAATTACTGCTACCAAATCAGCAGCGTCTACAAGCAGTTCAATAATTTTTTCACCAGCCCCATGTTATTAAATGTTTACTTTTTCCCCTCCACAGGTATGGAGAATTTCCCCGCCAGGCCCAGGAGATCATTGAACTACTCAAAGGCAATATTGAGAGTGGTTTGATGCCCTCTAATTGGTCTCTGGTGAGTAATTTGCGGTGTTGGTCAAGAGCAACACAATGTTAGTTAACAGCAGCACAGTGTTGCTGAGCAACAGCACAGTGTTGGTCAACAGTAACACACTGATATCCAACAGTAACAGTGTTCGTCAACTGTAACACAGTGTTCATCAAAGTAACGCAGTGTTGGTCAGCAGCTACACAGGGTTGGTCAACAGTAACACAGTGTTGGTCACAAGTAACAGTGTTGGTCAACAGTTACACAGTGTTGGTCAACAGTAACAGTGTTGGTCAACAGTAACACAGTGTTGGTCAACAGTTACACAGTGTTGGTCGCCAGTAACAGTGTTGGTCAACAGTTACACAGTGTTGGTCAACAGTAACACAGTGTTGGTCAACAGTAACACAGTGTTGGTGGCCAGAAACAGTGTTGGCCAACAGTAACAGTGTTGATCAACAGTAACACAGTGTTGGTCAACAGTTACACAGTGTTGGTCAACAGTAACACAGTGTTGGTCAACAGTAACACAGTATTGGTCGCCAGTAACAGTGTTGGTCAACAGTAACACAGTGTTGGTCAACAGTAACACAGTGTTGGTCAACAGTAACACAGTGTTGGTCAACAGTAACACAGTGTTGGTCAACAGTAACACAGTGTTGGTCAACAGTAACACAGTGTTAGTCAACAGTAACACAGTGTTGGTCGTCAGTAACAGTGTTAGTCAACAGTTACACAGTGTTGGTCAACAGTAACACAGTATTGGTCGCCAGTAACAGTGTTGGTCAACAGTAACACAGTGTTGGTCAACAGTAACACAGTGTTGGTCAACAGTAACACAGTGTTGGTCAACAGTAACACAGTGTTGGTCAACAGTAACACAGTGTTGGTCAACAGTAACACAGTGTTGGTCAACAGTAACACAGTGTTGGTCAACAGTAACACAGTGTTGGTCAACAGTAACACAGTGTTGGTCAACAATAACACAGTGTTGGTAACAGTAACACAGTGTTGGTCAACAGTAACACAGTGTTGGTCAACAGTAACACAGTGTTGGTCAACAGTAACACAGTGTTGGTCAACAGTAACACAGTGTTGGTCAACAGTAACACAGTGTTGGTCAACAGTAACACAGTATTAAACAACAGCAACAGTGTTGGTCAGTTAAGTGTTACTTTTATAAACAATGATCAAAGAAACTGAAAGCAAATCAGTGATCTACAAAAATAGTTGCATTATCCGTGGACTGCCTTTATTTTTGAACGCCCTCCACCATTCATCATATTTTAAAAATCTTTTAAAGATTGTTGAAGATCCCTTAAGGTCAGTTTTGCATACGACGTGACACTATGGTCGGTATTGTTTGATACCATCCATAGGATCACGTCACTTGCAAAACTGATCATCAAAGGCCTTAAAGAATCTCTTAAAGATCACTGATGTGCTTTCTGTTTGAAATGCAGCACTGCAGCTGAGTGTTAACTGGATCAGAGATGGCGTGACACAGCTGCTGCTTAGGGAAATATCTATAAAACCACTGACTTCTCATATTCTGTGTATATCTTAACATTTTATCTCCTGTACAGGCGGGCGTGGTGGAACAGTTAGACAGTTTGGGAGGTCCTGTTGAGGACTCGGTGTTCTACAAGCCCTTCCTACACACACCTCTCACCATCTCAGCTGAACTAAGGTGTGGTGTTAGCTGGTGCTATAACCCGTCAGTAGTAATTGTTGAAAGTAAAAAATACCCCTAATGAATTAAAAAATATAGACCAAGAATTGAGAAATGTGAATACTTGTGGGTCACTTGTGATTTATTAATGCATATCTCAAAGCAGTTTCCCACAACAGTCTTAAAAACTAGTTATACGGCACTTTTGTTTTGTATTTTATTGATATTTTTAACAGTGATAAATTGACACGTACCTTTGTATTAATATGAATTTAATTATATCGTAAGGTACATAATATCCATTATGATACTGTCGCAATTCAGACAGTTCCACGGTATATAGCGCAAGTATGTCACATGATTCGGTACCAGATGTATATATATATATATATATATATATTATATATATATATATATATATATATATATATATATATATATAGACTTGAAGAAACTTAGTCTCTAACCTAATTGCTGTCTCGATAATGTTTTTTTTATTATACCATAGTCTCTCTTTATCAGCTTGTCAGTCTTACTTTTTTTTCATTAAATATTCATATACTTCTGCTTCACTGTGAGAACAATTACGTCCATGTATCTCTAGTTACTGTCCTTCTGGATGCAAACCAGTGACGGCCTATTTTAGTATCTTCGGCAAACTTGACTCACGAAATCGTAATGACACGATTACAAACAAACCATACCACGGGTGGAGACAGAACCCGCGATCACAGAGTTTTACGACTCTGATCGAGGGTTCTATCTCCGCCCGTTGTATGGCTCGGCAAACTTATTATGCTCCTATTTATTTCCTCACATATGACTGAACATATCGTCTCCGCTCTTCTCTGTATTGAACTGAAGAAGTCACTGGCTGGCGAAACTTTTCCTCACTGAAGATTCCTAAATGTTGCACAAGTGTCTCATTCTTCAACTTGACGGTTTTCTAAATCATTTACATCGCAACCTTTTGCACACCTCTCTGGAACCATTTATCATGTTCTCTGCAGTTCCATTGTTTGCTAGCCACGACTGGTTCAGATGAGGCACTGTGGATCACATCTCAGCTTCCTGGTGATGCCATACTCTATTTTTGGGACCTGAAAAAAATGCACTCTCTAGTAATTATTCGTAAATATAGGTTAATATCCATTAATATACATTCTAGCTGAGAATAATAGATATTAAGATTTTTTTTTGTTAAACTTCGAACGTACAAAAATTTACGAACGGCAAAATCGTTAATTATTACACGCTCTAATGAAAGAAAAAGTTAAATGGAGATTCAACCTGTTCTCCAACGTGTTCATTAACATCTGTGTATTTTATATATATTTTATATTTCATAATATGTATTTCAAATAATTTGTATTGCATTGCAGGACGACGCTGAGACACCAAGCACAGGAGAGGATCAAGCAAGACTTACTTCCCTTCTTCAAGAAAATCCGTGATTTTATTGAGGTTAGCGATTACCACAGTTTTGCGCAGTAAGCTGTGTATAACACACAGTAACTAAAAAAAATGGGATTTTATTACCATTTATTGTGTAATGCAAATTTGTTACTATGTTTCTCTCATTTTTATATATATTAAACTCTTATAGTTCCTTGTAGGTACAAGACTTGAAAAAAAATATTAGAGTTTGTTAATAAATTTATATTTAAGTGAGAAGCACTTCTGGATCTGCAGTGTCAACATTGCTAGCGGACTGGCGAATTCGCCTAGACAGAACTCCGGAATACGAAGGAGCTCAGACCGTATAATACTGTATAAATTTCCTCATATTCTGGTAGCCCTGGATTCCTTAAGCTAAATGTTCTATTGTAAGCTGCACTGCTGATCAACCAAACTAAATTTGCAGTCATTTGGAAACATACCAGTCTGCTCATAAAAAGTTTCGAAGATATTTTTTGTTTCCTGAAATGCAGCAGAGAAGTGCGGCTCTTCCTCAGTTAAGATATTCACCAACTTAGTCCTGTTGAGTTACATTGCCATCATACTCTTTACTTTTATCTAATCAGTGTCACTAGAAGGAAATACTAAGGCTTGTTTAGCTTCAAGACTTTGTAGTGTAGAATGTTTAAGTAATTTATTTACGCCTCGTCCTTGAATTATTCTTATAGATACTCATCTTGCATTTTTTTTTTCGTTGTATGACACCGTAGATTCTTGCGTCCCAGTTTTACTAGAATTTCTCGAGAATATCTTGGATATTTAGCAGTGATAAGGGGCAAGGAGAATATGTCGCTAAATCCTTAGTAGAAAGATACATCCAGCTCCCGAGAGTTGCATTGTTAAGATCGCCGATATATATATATATTATATATATATATATATATATATATATTAATATATATATATATATATATATATATATATATATATATATATATATATATACTATATATATATATATATATATATGTATATATATATATATATATATATATATATATATATTATATATATATATATATATATATATATACGTATATATATATACATATATATACGTATATATATATATACATATATATATATATATATATATATATATATATATATATATATATATAATATATATATATATATATATATATATTATATATATTATATATATATATATATATATATATATATATATATATATATATATAGGCCCTAAGCGAAACAAAGCTGAAGGGGGTAGGGGAGTTTCGGTGGGGGGAAATAAATGGGATTGGGATTAAATCTGGAGTATCTGAGAGAGTCAGAGCAAAGGAAGGGGTAGCAGTGATGTTGAATGATCAGTTATGGAAGGAGAAAAGAGAATATGAATGTGTAAATTCAAGAATTATGTGGATTAAAGTAAAGGTTGGATGCGAGAAGTGGGTCATAATAAGCGTGTATGCACCTGGAGAAGAAAGGAATGCAGAGGAGAGAGAGAGATTTTGGGAGATGCTAAGTGAATGTATAGGAGGCTTTGAACCAAGTGAGAGAGTAATTGTGGTAGGGGACCTGAATGCTAAAGTAGGAGAAACTTTTAGAGAGGGTGTGGTAGGTAAGTTTGGGGTGCCAGGTGTAAATGATAATGGGAGCCCTTTGATTGAACTTTGTATAGAAAGGGGTTTAGTTATAGGTAATACATATTTTAAGAAAAAGAGCATAAGTAAGTATGCAAGATATGATGTAGGGTGAAATGACAGTAGTTTGTTGGATTATGTATTTTTAGATAAAAGACTGTTGAGTAGACTTCAGGATGTACATGTTTATAGAGGGGCCACAGATATATCAGATCATTTTCTAGTTGTAGCTGCACTGAGAGTAAAAGGTAGATGGGATACAAGGAGAATAGAAGCGTCAGGGAAGAGAGAGGTGAAGGTTTATAAACTAAAAGAGGAGGCAGTTAGGGTAAGATATAAACAGCTATTAGAGGATAGATGGGCTAATGAGAGCATAGACAATGGGGTCGAAGAGGTATGGGGTAGGTTTAAAAATGTAGTGCTAGAGTGTTCAGCAGAAGTTTGTGGTTACAGGAAAGTGGGTGCGGGAGGGAAGAGGAGCGATTGGTGGAATGATGATGTAAAGAGAGTTTACATCATCATTACATCGTTTAAAGATATATTTTTTTCACTAATGTTGATGTAAAAAATTTTAATTTTGCACTAAAAGAATCTTAGAAAACTTACGTAACCTTATTATAACAAGAACAATTTATTTTAGCCTAACCCAACTAAATATATTTTAGATTTGTTTTCAATAATTTAATACTAAACAAACACAACGAAACATATTTTTTTCGTTAGGTTCAGAATGATTTTGGCAAAATTATTGCATACACAAATTTTCGCTTGTCCTATATGGCAAGATGAGCGTTGCTATTTAAGCCAAGATCGCAAGTTCTGCCTATTCGGCACGACATATATATGTATATGTATGTTGTTTTTTTCCACAGACGGATTATTTACCTGCTACGAGGCCAGAGGTAGCAGTCTCATCGCTCGAAGGTGGTCACGACTATTATCAGGCTTGCCTCAATTTCCATACCAGCACCAGCCTCACGCCCCAGGAGATCCATAACTTGGGTGTTACAGAAGTGGCCAGGATAGAAGAGGAGGTGCAGAAGGTACTGTGTAGCATGGATAACTTTGTCACATATTAGATAAATAATTCTAAATACATTTCTGGAATTGTTATATAGTATTATAGTAAGATATAATACTGAATTTTTCCCGTAGGTTTTCTTTATGTTGGTTCTGATAAAGCACTAGGAATTTCCACCTATCAGTTTTACCTCTTAACCACCAGTTCTGTCTCCTACCTTCTCATCTCCTAAGGATTCCTGTTTTCATTGTCAAATTGGGAGTATCCTAACAACTTAAGCTCCTTTCTTACGGCATAAATTATTCAAAAGAGCTCACCACCACTCGTTGCTCAGTAGGACCATTATCGACCAGTCTCTGAAACCACACAGGTGCAGTAATCTAAAGACGTAGTTCAGATGATACTCTGTTTTAAACTCAATTGTTCCTCTAGGTTAGCGGAAAGTGTTCGATTTTTATGGTGTTCAGTGTAGAAAAGACAAGTTTTGTGATTAATCCTTTCAATAGCTGGAAATAATGACATTGAGGTTCTCGAAAGGACACCATCAACTAACTGTAGTCAAACGAGAGAAGAAAAATTCCATAAGAAAGGCTCATTAGAATTTATTACAGTGACTGAGGTTACAAAGTAAAAAGCACTGCAAATCTTGGCGACAAGGTAGTTAGATTGTTGCAAGACAAGAAAACAACCCATCGGTAATGATATACTATCGATATATCCACGTCAGTCATATTAGCGCAGTATCAATATTTATGGACTCATTAGATACTCAAGCTGCAGAATGTGTACACTCAATTGCCACTTTATTAAGCACACCATTCTAGTACTTGGTAGGTCCTCCCCACCCTCTGCCCTCATAACAGCTTGAATTTCTCGAGGCATGGATTCAACAAAATGCTGGAAATATTCCGAAGATTTTCTAGTACATGCTGATATGATAACATCTCATAGTTTCTGCAGATTTGTTGGCCGGTCATGCATATCTCACCTTCCACTATATTACAAAGGTTTATGCCAAATTCTGACCTTACTATCTGCATATCACAGCAGAAATTGCGATTCTATAGACAGTCGACGTTTTTCCAGTCTTTAACTGTCAAGTTTTGGCAAGCCTGTGCCAAATGTAGCCTCAGTTTCCTGTTCTTAGAGGACAGGAGTGGAACTTTGTGTGTGTTGCTTCTGTTTGATCCAATTTATCTCGCAGTTCGATGTGTTGTGCGTTCAGAGATGCTCTTTTGCATACCACTGTTGTTGGAATACGTGAATGTTTGAGATACTTTCGCCTTCTTGTCAGCTTGAACCATTCTGGCCGTTCTCCTCCGATCTCTCTCATTAACAAGGAGTTTTCACCCACAGAACTGCCAATCACTGGATGTTTTGTGCTTGTCACACCATTCTCTGTAAACTGTGGAAGCTGTTGTGTGTGAAAAGTTTAGGAGATGAACATTTGCTGAGATACTTAAATCAACCCATTCATTCCAAGGTCATTGTCACTTAGATAATATTTCTTTCCAGTTCTGATGTTTAGTCTAAACAACTAAACATCTTGACCATGTCTACACGCTTTTAGACACTGAGGTGCTGCCACGTGAATGACTGACTTGATATTTGCGTTAACGAGCAGGTGTACTGATATACCTAATAAAGTGGCCACTGAGTGTATATAAACACCTTTACAGTATATGGGTTTGCTTATGACAGCATTACTTTTTCAGTGCTTATCATTAACATGATAACTTTCCTTTATTAAAAAGAATATTACAAAATAAGGATTGTTATCAAGGGAGAGCGGAACCTCACTAACGAAAGTCATAATGATTTCGGTTTCCAACAACAGATATAATCATTGTCCTTCCCCCAACCTCCCTACAGTACAGGACTGTTTAGTTTAAACCATGCAATTTTTTTTAGTTATGTTCACAGTGTTCTCCAGCACACTTTATGACCTTGATGAAAGACTATAACCCTCGAGATAACATAAGTCTCAAGCATTAATTAAAATAATTATCATTACTCTACATACACTGAAAAATAACTGTGTGTTTCTCACGTCAACTAACAGTAGTGCAGGAGAGATGACAAAGTTCCAAGACTGTTATTCCCAATTTCAGTTCCGTTGTCTACAGATACGAACTATAAGTTCCAGATCTGTGCTCGATTCCAGCTCACTTATCTGGTTAATTCCACTGTAAGTGAAGTGAGAAGCTGCATAATCAACACGGATTTGCCGCATTTTTGTAAATATATTTTTAGAAGTGGCACTCCCTGTTTACTAAGCATACTTGGCATCCTTGTTGCACTACAGAGTGCTCTGCAATAATGGTTTCCGATCTTATATTGGTATGGCTACATAGAAGATTCTGCTGAGTTGCAACTGTCCTGTTTCAGTCTCTCATGAGAGGAACTCTCCCGCACCTTTCAACAATGCTAACATATATGCTACCTGCAATTATCTTTTAAGAAGCTCTTTTTATATCTCAAGCCTAACCACATTATTATTATTATTATTATTATTATTATTATTATTATTATTATTATTATTATTATTATGATCATTATTATGATCATGATCCCAGTAGGAATCATCCAATTCATAAATATACTAGCGTTAAAAAGCTCGTAAGAACTAATTTCAGTCTACCCGAAATGCTTCGCATAACGAAGGCTTTTCCTTGAAATGTACAGAAAGATATAACCCCAGAGCTGAATCAGCACCCTGTGATGCTTGGAAATAAAAGTTTATATGATTTGATAAACGAGAGACGGACATAACTCTCGCAGTCAGAGAGAAAGCATTACTGATAACCTGAGAACTGTGTGATAGCATACCTTGGTAATTGCATAGTTTAAGGTCATATTTACACTGGTTCAACACAGGCAAAACAGTGTACACTAGACAAGCTTATGATTACGTTTTTGATGAGCCCCTCCTTTTTCTGGTCTTGGTAATGCTGAGGCCCAATACAATAACTTATGTCGCTAGAATAGATCCTGGGCTGGGCCAAATCAAAACCCACACAACATTAATCTTGGACAAGAACATGTTTGAGACATAAGAGACGGTTTTTCTACTTTCCTAACTTTTGCCACAAAGGTATAAATATAGATATTATTTGCGTTAGGGAGATCATAACGCAGTTTCAGAAAGGAGGTGTCACTCTCTGGCTTAGGTATGGATACATAGTCCATATAGAAGTTTAGACAATACCCATTTATTAAAATAGCATAACTAAATAAGTTAATCACAGCCAAAGAAGTTCTAAGAAATCAGGTTTTTCATCAATCTTGTCTTTATTCTCACTTCCAAAAGCATGGCTACTCTCATATATTATTATTGATGGCTGCAAGAGGAGGCTGCGTACAAGGCACCCTGTTATGCCCAGTTAAACACCAAAGAAGTAACTGTTCCTCTACGAGTCTACTGGCTAAAGAACTCAGCAAACAAGACGATTTCGCATTCCCATCTCCGATTTCTGTGATATCCAGAGCACACCATTTCACCTGAGGAGTGTTTAGCTCACTGGTACTGCCAGCAGATGTACCTTTGGCGAACGTCACTGAAGGGATGCAACTTGTATGTAGCTCCACCTTCTCCCAACTTTATGCCATCCCTATATCTGTAGTCACCGAAGCGCTTGTGACACATAAGTACAAGCTACAGAAAAGAAAGTAATAACAGATTGATGGTGGTACTACTACTAGTAGATTACTAAATCTGTCATGGATAACATATAACAGCTCCTCTACACGCAAATAGAACTTTGTGATTGTGATTCTCTCGACTATGTTGCTAAGAGCAATTAAAGACACAGTTTGGACCATAAACAGATGAAAATCTGTTTATTGTTTTTTCTGTGATGGTTTTAAAGGTCCAATATCAGAATAAACTAAAGCAAATAATTAGAGATCCTTCATAGCCTCGAGTCGAGGACTCTAGGCTATGATGGATCTCTGATTTCTGATATTGGTGTAGCTACATGTTTAAGTACTAATATTTGTTAATAACTACACAAGAATGTTCGTGTATGCTGAATGTTATACTTGTTGAACCTTAATGAGGAATGCTTTGATGTTCTTGAAGGACTCTTTATCTAAAGAATTGGGGATAGCCTCCCCTACCTTGGATCAAATCTGATTACCCCCTTCCATTTCTTAGGCGCTACTCCATTAATATGATATAAATATTAATAATAATATTTTAAATGAAAATGCGTGAGTGCAATGCCCAGGACTTTTCTCCAAATTTAAGGTAATACTCTGAGCCTTCTGTTTTTTTTTTTTTTTCCAAATAATCTGATTTAATCTCAGCAGTTCTCGAGAAGCATCCGTACTTAATGTGGGTTTCTAATAAGAACTCACTGAAAAAAACTGAAACCTTTAAAATGCCGTTTTAAAGTTTTCTTTTTTAACTCATTGAAGAGTATATTGTATGCAGGTGACATGACTTGACCTGACAGGTCAGGAGAGTGTTGTGTGGTGAGGTACATGTGAACCAGGGGTCCCGTCAACACCAACTTTCCTGGGGTCTGTATAACAGATCCCTGGCTCACATCCACCTCAGCATACACAGCGGCCGCAATGAAGGCTTCTGTTAGGTCACAGTGTCTGTCTATCAGCTTTTCCTCATCTTATCTTTCTATTAGAATTGCCTTCTCTGATTAAGGTGCTGTTGGTAAGATTCCTCAGCGGTTCGTCAGAACCAGAATAAAAATTAAAAAGGCACAGTACCGTAACTGGAACAATACACAAATAACCCACACATAAGAGACTTCTAAATGGCCCAAGTAGGACCGAAAGGTCGTCATAAGCTTCTCTCTCCTACGTGCTGGTTATTTATGTATAGAGGCAATGTATGGAATACTGCGTTTTGAAGAATGGAAAAAAAAATGTGTTTGCTTGTTTTGATGAATCACATTTCCTTCAGCCTCCCACACTCCAACAGTATGCTCAAATTTTGAAAAGGGTTTTCATTCAGAATGCAGTATACCTAATAAATAATTTTAGTTTACATGCTTAATATAAAAGTTTAACAAAAATCTATAATATATTTTAATAGAATGCCTTTATAAATATAAAAAAATTCCGAATTTATCTTGTGGAACCACACTTTCCAGACAGCAGCTGAGATTGGGATGGAGGGGAAAACATTTCCTGAGATCAGTCAGGCTCTTAGGGAAGACCCAGACCAAGGCTTCAGCAGCAAGGAGGAAGTGCTCAGTACCTACATAAATGCTATCTACAATGTCATTATGCCTCTGATACCTCAGCTGTTTACCACTGTACCATCAGAAAATGTTACGTGAGTCAGATATCCATTTAAGAAAATTCTTTTAAAGCATTGCTTGGTATCCTAAATAGGATGCATACATCTTCCTTCCATTTACCCTTTATTTATTTCTCATTAGTTTATTTTCTTGTTTTTCAAATGATTGAGTCTATTAAATAAAATTAGTGTGTACATGTTAGCTCTGGGTGCCTGTGACTAAAACACATCACTAGCCTTCACAGACGCCGTCTGGATGAAGCAGCCCTTACACACAACTTTACTAATATGAATATTAGTCCTGGCTTTGTCTCTGTACATGTCTTCTGTTTTTACCCCCTTCTCTGTGTTCTTGATTCCTACTTGTAGGCCATTAAGTGCCCTCAACCTAGAGGTATTGCGGTAGCTGCTAGGTGGTCCAAATAAAATCGAATAATAGGAGGATACCAAATTAAGTTTTTTTAGGGGGATACAAAATTAAGGTTTTTTTTTTTTCAAAATTTTTGCGGTCGACTTGTATAAGAAACAGACCTGTCTTGAGTAATTAGGTTAACATTATATAACTGATACTTAAATAAACTCAAGTCTGCTGAAATTTAATGCAAGAACTATTATCCCAAGCATCGAATACTAATTAACTAAAATAAGATAAAATAAGAAATACAAACATCTGCTTTAAAAGACATGAAAATATATTATCGTAGCATTCAAACACAGTGCTTCACAGGTAAGGAAATTCATCCATTTTTAATGAAGTAGCAATCATTTAAAATTCAAGTAATACAAAAAAAAAAAATTACAAAATTCTCGACAGCTAACGTTAGCTTAACTTCATAACAAACATAAATTTTTAACACTGCACAGTCCATCTGCTCGTACACTCACATCTTTCTACACTTTAATTCTCTCTCTTTCCTCTAAACTTTCCTGTTAAGGGAAGGGGGCTCCTTGTCATATCAAAGAGGTTATCAGTCTGAGGAATTGGACCTTTTGGTCTTCTTCCTCCTACCGAACCTAATTACCCCTCCAACCCTCCCTTCCCTATCCCATCCCCCCTTGTTTCCCCTTCCTCCCTCCTCCCATCCCTCCCCTCTAGCATTACGGTTTCTAGGTAGGGGGTAGTGTGCTGGGGTTCATCCCACTCCATGGAGTCCCTCGAGCGTGATGTAGTTTACCATGGAATCTGAATTATCTGGAGGTGGTGCCCTGCTCCCTTCCCGGATTTATGAGAAGTGGGCAGAGTGTCCTGCAGTTGATGGGTGTATCTCCAGAGGCTGCCTGTCGCTTCTGGGAGGTGACAGCCAAAGAAGGTATGCTCCGTAGCAGGTTTCCGACCACCCTTTCTTTTGTCCGCTGAGGTTGTTCGGTAGATGTGAGGTTGCTATCCTGGAGCGCTGGTTTACTAGTGTGAAGGGTAGGGTATGGCACAGGTTCCATGCTGCATCTGCACTGCTCGTGGACTCGAGGCGCTCTTGGATGAGGAGACGAACTTATGGCCCTTCCATGCCTTCTAGTGACTGCCCCTCCACTGTCCCTCTTTTTTTTTTCCTTCTTTTTTTTTCTTTACAGTAACAAGAAAGAAGCACCATTATCATGGAGTCTTCGTTCTATGATGACCCTCCTCCTCCTAGGCCCCTTTCTGTTCCCACATCCTGTTCTGACCTTGCTTCATTATTGGAACATTTTCTACACTCTTCTCATACCCCTGTACCTTCTGCTGGTGACGCTTCGTCACCTTCTCCAGGTGCTGAAGTGTCACCCATTTCTGTTAATGCCTCTGCCACAACAACGCGTCTGGCTTCCCCGAATTAGTGCAATGGTTTTTGGATCTCCCACCTCACTCAGGTCGGACCGCCCGCGGTACTACTCCTAAACGTTCCAGACAACCTATTGACAACGGTTCTTTGATGTCTGCCCAAAAACAGCCTACGTGACACCCATTTCCTTTGCATACCATGTTTACAAGCACACAGTGGATTAAATTCTTTTCCCTACAACCGACATCTCCAACTAATTATCTTTCTGACCATAGTGTTGGTAAAGCTCTTTTATGACACATTGACCAAAATACATCCTATCACCCTCTTCGAAATGGTACGTGTGTCGTTACAGTTCAGAATTCAGAACAAGCTCATGATCTTTCCCATATAACTTCCAAAGATAACATTCTAGTCACAGTCCATAAGCATGCTAATCTCAATTCTTGCAGTGGTACTGTGGTTTTACCATGTAACATCGTACAGAACGATTTTTTGTCTTGCGGCGATGATATTTTAGAGCAATTAGCCCTTCAGGATCTTCCTATTCTCAAAGTGGATACATATGTCCTGCCCGCTCGTGGGCGGAGGTGCTTTTTCAGTAATATCGCCTGCTTAACCTTCGACTGCCGTGAACTCCCATCCTCTGTTTATATTTCGCATCTTGCAGTCTTCCCCCCTCTTGTCTCAATTGCAATGAATCTCATCCTTCTTTTTCACACCGTTGCCAAGTCTATCGTAATGAAAAAGAAATCCATTATCTTAAGGAAAGTGAAGGCCGTATTTATGCTATGGCTGTCTCTGAGCTCCACCTTCAGGGAAATCTTCCTTATTCTCGAGTAGCTCGGAGACCTCCAACCTTGATGCTCCACCCGCCTAGCTAGTGTTTCTCAGTCTATGAGACCTCGCAAGCCTACACCTTCTTCGCGTCTATCACCTATCTACCTCGGTGCCTAGTTCTCACCCCCTTTCTAACTCTCACATAAAGGTGGACGTTCACCCCCCCCTTGTGTTGTCCCCTCTTCTCCTGTTCCCCTCCCCAGTCTTCTTCCCTAGTTACCTTCCAACCTCCTTCCTCTCCTATTCCACTGCAGGACTCTTCTGCCCCTGCCAACACATCTTTCCAGGTTCATACTCTCCACCCCTCTCAGACCTCTTTGGTTGCCTCCATTGTTAACCCGATCTCTACCTGCTCTACCTCACCTATCTCTGAAATCATGGTATCGGCATCTTCCTTATCTGCTGAGACACTTGACGCTATCTCTACTATATTACCGAGACGAAACCCTTGATGGACACCGACACACTTCCTTCTACCCTTTCTTTATCACGACCCTCGCAACTTTCTTTTTCACGCCCGTCGCAACTTTCTTTTCCTTCACAGCATTCTGATTCCTTCTTGCTTACACGCTTATCATTGCCCCCACATGTTTACTTCACTGACCCTTATAGCCCATAGATTTTATTGCTTCTTATTGTTGACATACCTGTCTTTGTAAATAATGCCTTATTTACAATGGAAAATTCGTAGCCTCAGGGGTAGTCGGGGAGAACTCCAAGTGTTGCTCTCTCTGTTTTCCCCAATATGTGTCGGGTTACAAGAACCTAAAATTCGTTCAGCTGTTATTCATTCCATTTCGGGGTATGTGCTGTTACATTCTTCTGATCCTTTTCCGCGTCATTTAATGAGAGCGCACTACTTGTGTGCATTGGTATACCCATGTCAACAAGTTTTTGTTCGTCCTCTGCTGCATTATACTGCAGCTCGTACTTATTTACACAGATGGTATACAGTTTGCTCTCTATATCTTTCCCCTTCCCGTGCATTCTGTATCTCGGATATTGCATTTTTGATCTCTACTGCCGCCCATCTTGTTAAGATAAGATATAAGATAAGATTTCGTTCGGATTTTTAACCCCGGAGGGTTAGCCACCCAGGATAACCTAGGACTGTCTAACTTATTTCCATTGGGGTCCTCAATCTTGTCCCCCAGGATGCGACCCACACCAGTCGACTAACACCCAGGTACCTATTTGCTGCTAGGTGAACAGGACAATAGGTGTATGGAAGCGTGTCAAAATGTTTCCACCAGCCGGGAATTGACCCCGGGCCTTCCGTGTGTGAAGCGGGAGCTTTAGCCACCAGGCCACCGGGCCCTCCACCAGGCCACTGGGCCCTCCACCAGGCCACCGGGCCCTCCACCAGGCCACCGGGCCCTCCACCAGGCCACCGGGCCCTCCACCAAGCCCCATCATCTGTGGGGAGGGTCCCACTGTGACTCTCGTGGTGATCAGTTGGAGACTCTTCTCGCTTCTCATCCTCTTCATGTTTTAAATACAGGTACTCCTGCCCATTTTGACTCTCGCACTCAGTCTCTCTCTTGCATTGATCTTTCTATCTGTTCCTCGTCAACTGCACTTGATTACACTTGGTCTGTTCTCCCGGATTTACACGACAGTGATCACTTTCCTACTTCATATTCCCTACTGCCTCGTAGCTCTCGTTGGCAATTTGCATGAGCGAATTGGGACTTATTCTCTCATTTTACTACCTTTTGTGACAATTTCATTCATCTCGGACATCTAATTATACAGGCTATTTACATTTAAACCCAACTCTGCGAGGGTAAGATTTACATATGCAGAATGGTTATCATCTCTGGGAGGATCGAATTCCTTTGCAATGGTTAACACATGCCTTGACTGAGGGAGATCTGAACAAGTATCAACAAAAGATACTTGTGGGTTTCTCATTACTTGTCGTGTACGCAAAGAATAACGACATGAGGACCCCCTTTCGTCCTCTGTTGATGAACTGGTACACCAGTTTTCGACCTTAGTTTTGACTGCGGCGTCACGTTCAATTCATCAGGCAGGCTTTCTCAGACATATGTGCCCTGGTGATCTCCTGCGTTTGCCCGTGCAGTGCATTTAAAATGTGCTGCGTTGGTTCGTTATCGATATAATCGAACCTCAGAGTGTCTTTCGGATTTTAAGCGACCATGGATAGTTGCTCGCCGCATCATACGTAATGCTAAACGCACTTGTTGGCAAGACTACGAGTCTACCATTACCTCGTCTCCCCCTATGTGTGCAGTTTGGAAGAAGGTACAAAAGTTGTGTGGCAAGTACACTCCTTAGCTAGCTCCTGTTTTGCGGGTTGTTGGTGTTGGTGTTGCAGAACCTCTTGAAGTTGCCATGGAAATCGGGGACTATCTTGTCCGTGTCTCAAAAGGGTTTAACCGTTGTCCTCATTTCTTGCGTCTAAATCTGCCAAGTTAATGGAATGGAGCCGTATAATGTACCTCTCACTCTCCTAGAGCTAGAGTCCACACTTTCCACTTGCCAGCCGTCGGCAGCTGGACCTGATGATATTCATATCAGTATGCTACAGCATCTGCATTCTACGGTCCTTCCAGTCGTTTTGCATTCTTTTCAATCTTATTTGGGTGCGAGGGGTTCTCCATTGTACTAACGTTTCGCAAACCGGGGCTTGATTCCTCTCACTATTGCCCCATTGCCCTGACCGGTGTAGTCTGCAAGGTAATTTAACAACTGGTGAATAGACGTCTGATATGGTTCTTGGAGACTCACAACAGTCTTTCCCCTCGCCAATATTGCTTTCGCAAGGGCCGCTCTACTCTGGACCCCTTGCTGCACTTAGATACTTATGTGCGAAATGCCTTTGCTAACAAACACTCCATCCTAGCAGTCTTTTTTTGATCTTGAGAAGGCATATGACACCACTTGGAGGTATAACATTTTAGCCCAAGCCCACTCCTTAGGCCTCAACGGTAACCTACCAACCTTCCTTGCTGCTTTCATACCGACAGACATTTTGGGGTCCGTGTTGGTGCCTCGCTTTCCTCAGACTTTGTACAAGCCGAGGGAGTCCCACAAGGTTGTGTGCTTAGTACTAGCCTTTTTCTCTTAGCTATAAATGGCCTACCTTCCGTTCTTGCATCGCATATTTGGTCCTCACTTTATGTGGATGACTTCGCTATAGCTTACTCAGGCGCTGACTGTCGCCTAGCAGCAACCTCACTACCGGATGCGATTGACCAAGTTTCCCACTGGACCACTTTTAGTGGCTTTAAATTTTCTTGTACAAAAACCCCATTTCATTAACTTCACTAGACGTCCTCTTATCCCAGTTATTCCACTGTATTTACATGGCTCATGTGAAATGGTCAAGTTTCTTGGCCTTCTCTTCGATCGCTGGTTGATATGGAAACCTCACATTTCTTCTTTGAAGGCAAACTGACATGGTCGGTTGAATCTTCTTGAAATTCTCGCGCATCGTTAATGGGGAGCAGATCGCCGAACTCTCCTCCGTTTGCATTCCACCCTAGTCTTGTCCAAGCTGGATTATGGCTACCAAGTCTGTTCTGCGGCTTCTACAACTCTTTCTAAGTTAGATCCCCTTCATCATCAAGGTCTCAGTTCATGCCTTGGTGCCTTTCGTTCATCCCTTGTTGAAAGCCTCTGTGCAGAGGCAAATGTTCCTTCCTTAGGTGATTGTCATGATGCTCATTGTCTTTGTTACTTTGTCCGCACTCAAGATCTTCGTGTTTCTTCTAAGTATAGGTTGATCTCAGACATTAGTAGAAGCCCATTGTTTGTTCGGCGCCCTTGCCTACTCTGACCGTTTTCTCTTCGTCTTCACTCACTATAGTCTTCTTCCATTTGCCCCCCCTTTTATGTTCATTTAACGTCTGCCTCTTCTCTTCCCCTTTGGGAAGTTCCAACAGTTCGTGTCTGTTCTCCTCCCACTACCATACGCCAAAGCTTTCCTGCCTACGACTGCTTCTCGTTCGCTTTTTCTCGAGCACTTCCGGTCACATGCTCATGCCATCGCTGTTTATACAGATGGTTCTAAATCTTCTGACGGTGTTGGGTTCGCAGCAGTATTCCTTGACAGTGTTGTCCGAGGTCATTTATTAGCCTCAGCTAGTATTTTTACTGCCGAGTTGTATGCCATCCTCATAGCACTTCTTCGTATTACATGTGTCCTTCGACGTTTGTGATCATTTCAGATTCCCTCAGTGCTTTACAAGCCATTAAACAATTTGATTCTTCTCATCTATTAGTCCTTCGTATTCAACTATGGTTACACTGTGTGGCTAGCAAAAACAAAGACGTCGTTTTCTGTTGGGTACCTGACACGTTGATGCGCAGGACAGTGAACGAACAGATGCTGCTGCGCGGTCAGCGGTGCATGATCTTCTGGTGTTCTGTAGAGGTATTCCGTTCAGAGATTATTTTCCAGTCATCTCGCCCCGTCTTCGTACCCGTTGGCAACAACGGTGGTCGGGCATGCACCATAACAAATTGTACTCTATTAAACTTCTTTTAGGTTTGTGGCCATCTTCTTACCACAGTTGCTGTTCTCGGGAGGCTGCGCTCTCCCGGCTCTGCATTGGCCATACGCGCCTTACCCATGGGTATCTCATGGAACGACGCCCTATTTCTCTCTGTGAGGTTTGTTGCGTCCCTATTTCGGTTCTTTACTTTCTTGTCAATTGCCCGGTTTACCAGTGAGCTCGCACGATTTATTTACCTCCAACGCCGCTGCCGCCCTACCACTCTTACTTTATCATGACTCACGAAATCGTAATGACACGATTGCAAACAAACCATACCCCGGCCGGGATTGAACCCGTGGTCAGAGAGTCTCTGACCGCGGGTTCAATCCCGGCCGGGGTATGGTTTGCTTACTTTATCATCCCTTCTTGCAGACGGTCCTGCCTTTGATTTACAATCACTTTTTTACTTTTCGTCAGTAACTGCTTCACTGTACGAACTTTGACACATATCCCGTAGCACCCCTTCCAGACCTTTTCTCCCCTCACCTCTGATATCTCCACCTAGCTCTTTATAGCTTCAGCACTCTTTTCTGTCCCGCATAATAATAATAATAATAATAATAATAATTAATAATAATAATAATAATAATAATAATAATAATAATAATAATAATAATAATAATAATAATAATAGTAATAATCCTCTAAAATTTCGTTTATTCCTAAATTACAGTATACTTAAAGTTACGAAGAACAGTTGGTGCTGTGAAGCATACGCCAGATGTAGTGAGGAATTTAGATCTAACACTTTGGTATCTTTCTCATCAACCTGTAGGTTCTCTGAACCAGTTATCTACATACCAGATGTAGTGTGGGGGGTATTCTGTGTTAAGTGTTGAGGAAGATTGCTGGTGCTGTGTGAGTGTTGAGAAAGACTTCTGGTGCTGTGTGAGTGTTGAGGAAGACTGTTGGTGCTGTATGAGTGTTGAGGGAGACATCTCGTGCTATGTGAGTGTTGAGGAAGACATCTGGTGCTATGTGAGTGTTGAGGAAGACTGCTGGTGCTGTGTGAGTGTTGAGGGAGACATCTGGTGCTATGTGAGTGTTGAGGAAGACTGCTGGTGCTGTGTGAGTGTTGAGGAAGACTTCTGGTGCTGTGTGAGTATTGAGGAAGACTGCTGGTGCTGTGTGAGTGTTGAGGAAGACTGCTGGTGTTCTGTGAGTGTTGAGGAAGACTGCTGGTGCTGTGTGAGTGTTGAGGAAGACTGCTGGTGCTGTGTGAGTGTTGAGGAAGACTGCTGGCGCTGTGTCAGGTGCTGCAGTTACACATGACAGTGAAGTACAGTGTGGAGTGGCCTTGAGTGTCGAAAAATGTTTACCGGACTTACGGGTAATGTGGCATGCAAAGAGTACGTAACCTTTATTCGGCGCATGGACACACCCTCATTTACAGGCTATCTCCCCCAACCAGCGAACCAGGTTGCTAAGAGTTGATGATGGGGCCCCATCGTTCAACTAGTGACCAGGTTCTAGCCAATAAGAAGGTGGGATTGACAATCGCAGAGGTTATGTGGATACCGCTCTCCTGTCTGCCCTTGTCATTCCCACTCTAGAGCTGGTTGAAGCACGGTCTGCTATCTTGTGGCTTCTATTTCTGCCTTGCTTACCGTGGAGTGCACTATATTTATCACTGTACATAGTGTACATATTGCTGTTATAATTGGTGAAGGATAATATAAGTCTAAACTTTTTCTACTGTGTTTATTTGCTCCCATTACACCTGGGATAACAGGCCATTTGAAATCCTAGGTTGTAATAGGTAATATTGTGCTGAGTCGTGAATACTGATTTTACAAGCTAATTAGCAATAACAACCTAAACAGTAGAAATGTTGTCATTGTTTAAGATGTGCATCTGGTCAAGACTTTCTGATTAAAACATACACAATACGCAGCAATATTTATAAGATAAATTAGCATCTTTGTGTAAATTCTGGCTGACTCTCAGGAAACAACATATAATAAAATATTATTGCATACACTGGTAACTCTTAAAATCCTGTTTATTTCAATATATATTTTTTCTTTGTGCAGGATCGAACTTGATGACAACCCTAATGCTGTGTTTGGAAGATATAATTCACCATCCATGGATGGATCAAGACTTGGCACATTTATTTTAAATTCCTATGATGTTGCCATGCAGTAAGTAAAAAAGTATTGTTCAAAAATGCCCTTGAAAATTAATATAATTGCTTAATTGCATTAAGAGTTAACTCTGAAAAAATAATGAAAGTAATAATAATAATGTGGAAAATTAAATTTACCTAGATGTAACTCATAAGATACATACCAGTAAATGGTAGCAAAGATAATTATTCTTTATCAAGGTTACAGAGACAAGTAGGAATTTTAGGACACCTAGGTCGCAAAAATGTCCCCCTTCGATACCTACTACAATCTATATCTCCACAAGTCACTCTGGAACTATATTAATTTCAAATGAAATATACATCACCAGGAATTCTGGTAAAACATTAATATAAATATATGGACTGTATATTAAATTTAAAAAATGAATACATATACATTGAAGGAGAATTTATCTTAGTACCACTCACCAATTAGTCTGGAGATTATGGTGTGTCATACACAAAACCCCCTGCCTAAAATATGAAGAAAATACTGGCCAGAATTTCAACATAAATAGACATCACTAACCTGTGGTAATATCCTGTTTCCATCTAATTATGGAGTCCTGTCTAGTCGCCTAATTCTCACATTCTGCAGGACTGCAATTCCAACAATTTTGGCTCTGTTTGGGAAGTTTCAACCACAATTTAACTTCCAGAGCGACGAAATTTATGCACATTTCACTAACGTGCCTTTACCCAGTGACGCTCACCGATTTTGCTGGTTCTTTATTTATTTGCAAATTAATTTTATTACCTACAATATATTCCATCAATTTACATACAAAATACACTCAGTTCGTGGAGCTGAGCCTTTAATTGTCCATATGCCATTCTGTAATTAGTGGGCAATTCTGGATGGTTCAGTCTCCACGGAAGTCGTACCCAGTATTGTCCAGATTCAAATTTTACATCTCTCAGGTACTGTTCCTGGACTTTCTTCATTTACATTTATTCCAATGCTGTCTAATTCCCACAATTTATGCACTGGCTCAACACCATCCTCTATGGAAGAATTATACTGGGGCACGACTTCATGAGTAAGACACAGTGATGGTATTTATAGTTTCCTCTAGTCATGAATTATTATTACGAGGAATCCTACCATACATTACATGGCCTCCTGCAGTCATTAAAAGGGTGACACCACATTTCTTTACCATACCCTTTACAAATGAGGCATTATAGTCACTGCCTATCAAAATATTTATTGGGCCTACAGAATCATCATTTACACCAGAAGGTTCTAAATTTACATTATGTGAAAGTCTTTCTGTAGCTTTACTAAGCCCTATTGTAGATATTTTCTCTTTAAGCCTATCTACAATTACTGCATTAACACGTTTTTTTCTCATTGCCCAAACTGACAGTTACATAAACAGTATCATACAATTGAGCCCTTTTATCCGAGAGAAAACCAGATAATTTTAGAGTTGTAGGATCTCCCATCTGTACTTTCATCCCATTAAGACATTTACGTTTTATGAAAGTACGCTGTGATTCCTGGTCTAATAATGCAGTTACATTTTTTTATTTATGCCTTTTATCATCAATTTTTACCAGTAACACAGGTAAGACTACTTCAGCAAAACCATCATTATTAACATTAGCAGCAATTTTTACATTAGCCACTGTTGTGTCAGGATTGTCAACATTATCATTATTATCAACATTATCATATAGACCTTTACACATGACTATATGGTGTCTTACTTTGTGACATTGATAACAGTTATTTAATTTGGCATGACAACCCTTTACATTGTGATTACCTAGACACCTGATACATCTGTCAAGTTCCTCCAATCTTTCAACTCTATCATTCCATGAATTGTATGTATTGCAATTCTTAGAAAAATGAGTACCCTTGCAGAAAAGACAATCTCTCTTTTCTTTGACTGGTTTCTTATTAACTTGGCTACTCTTAGGAGGGTACTTATTCTTCTTACCTGTGGAGAATCATTATTTCTGATTCCTGCTTCTTGATATGCACCTATGCAACTCTTTTTAGGAAATGAATTTTGATTATTAACATTGGGATAATTTTTCCCTTTGTGAAACTTGACAGATACCTCAGAGTTATCATGTGTTGCATCTTTAAAATGAGTTGGTTGGCTGGTCTGCAACTGAACAATTAATTCATGTAGACCTAGTCTTATTTCCTCCAGACCAAAATAACCTTTTTGATAATTGTTCTGGAGAACCATTCAAGTGTTTTACAGCTTAATTTATTCTGTACAATGGCACTCAATAACCAGTCTGATTCCTTCAGATTATATTTATTACTTAAAGTTTTGAGAGTGCTCTCCAGTTTAACTCTGAACTGCTGTAAACCTTTGTAAGTATGATCTGGAGTTTTTAAATTAACAATGATAGTCACTAGATCCAACCTAGTTTGTTCTATATTACTATAAGTGACCTTCAATAAGTCAACTGCTTCCTTGTAAGAGTCATCTACATTGGGAAAGGCTTGTATGAGTATGTGAGCATCTCCTCTTATCTGTCCTTTGAGGTAAAATAATTTAGTAACACATGTTATATCACTCCTATCATGCACAGCTGCTTTAAAAATTTACCAAAACTACTCTCAATTTTCTCCAGGATTAGGTAAACATAATTCTGGGAGTTTTGGCAAAGACATCTTATTTATTGGAATAGATTGATTAACTGCCTGGTTTACACCTTTTAATTTATTCAAAGCCTGACTTTTACAAGAAAGAATTTTTTCTTCTAATTCATAATACTGGTTAATCATAAGATCCATTTCTGTCTCATCTACACAATTTACTAACAAATCTCCTTCATATTTTTTATAATATAATTTGTATGAATCATATCTATTCCCTAAAGCATCTAAATACAATTTTAAATCATCAGTATTCACAGTTTCTTGATTCATTAATTCCAAACATTTATTGTATACCTTTGTTACATGACCCTTTCTAGCCTGCAATAATGATTTTTTTTGCTCTAAATTCCATGTGTTTGTCCTCTACATTAATTTCCTCATTTTCACCCATGGTGCAATGTATTAAATTCAACTTAATTAATAACACTGATTATGTACTTAATTATGCACTTTATAAAGATAAATCTTATCTACACTTGAGCTTAGCATTTACTCATGTAAGGAAATTATAATATGAATTTTAAATATATTAATATGAACCCTAGCTACATTTGAGCTTAGCAATTACACATGTAAGGAAATTATAATATAAATTTTAAATGCAAAATTAGCTTAGCAAAATTAGTGTTGTAATAATTATAATCCACTACATATTAAGTAAATTTGTGGACCTAACATCCACCTCCTTCTGTCATTTCACATATAATTATTAATTAATTCACTAATTAATGACTTCACTAATTACATCCAGTTCGACCAAGGACCAATAGGCAACTATTTGGAAAATTAAATTTACCTAGATGCAACTCATACGATACATACCAGTAAATGGTAACAAAGATAATTATTCTTTATCAAGGTTACAGAGACAAGTAGGAATTTTAGGACACCTAGGTCGCAAAAATGTTCCCCTTCGATACCTACTACAATCTATATCTCCACAAGTCACTCTGGACCTATATTAATTTCAAATGAAATATACATCACCAGGAATTCTGGTAAAACATTAATATAAATATATGGACTGTATATTAAATTTAAAAAAATGAATACATATACATTGAAGGAGAATTTATCTTAATACCACTCACCAATTAGTCTGAAGATTATGGTGTGTCATACACAAAACCCCCTGCCTAAAATATGAAGAAAATACTGGCCAGAATTTCAACATAAATAGACATCACTCAGCTGTGGTAATATCCTGTTTCCATCTAATTATGGAGTCCTGTCCAGTCGCCTAATTCTCACATTCTGCAGGACTGCAATTCCAATAATTTTGGCTCCTATTTGGGAAGTTTCAACCACAATTTAACTTCCAGAGCGACGAAATTTATGCACAGTTCACTAGTGTTCCTTTACCCTACTCAAAACAATGGCGTCTCTTCCCTAGCGATGCTCACCCATTTCGCTGGTTCTTTATTTATTTACAAATTAATTTTTATTACCTACAATATATTCCATCAATTTACATACAGAATACACTGTATTTTCGGAAAATATACAGTATTTTCCACAAATAATAATAATAATAATAATAATAATAATAATAATAATAATAATAATAATAATAATAATAATAATAATAATAATAATATTTTGTTTCAACACACTGGCTGTCTCCTACTGAGGCAGGGTGACCCGAAAAAGAAAAAACACTTTCATAAAGTTTTTCTTTTTACATTTAGTAATTTATACAAGAGAAGTTACTGGCCCCTTGCTCCCGGCATTTTATAATAATAATAATTGTAATAACAATATTGTATCTTTGCATTTTAGGATTTTATATAGTAAGTCTCTAGATGTAAAATGAAACTCTTGTCCTCTTGATCCAAAATTTACATAAATAAGCTCTGAAAACTCAAGTATAACATGTTACAAAATTAAGGAAACAATCGACATCTGAAGTTATTAGGAACACTTTCAAATGGTGTGGTAACCAATCCTTTGGTGTTAATGAGTGGTATCCAGCTGCATCTGTTTTAGTCACTGTGTACTTCCTTGTATGTAAGTTAAGTTTCTACACAATATAAATGAGGAGGCACATTTTACCATACTCATACCATTACGAGAAAAAGAGAGAGAGGTTACAAGCTGGAGAGGGAAAGATGCTTCCTTAACAAGTGGAGATAATTAATCACAGTACCGGTTAGGAAATACTGGCTTCAGAAAATACTGAATGCATTTTACTAACCCTCTGAGATGTGTAGGCTACAGTGTCTCCACGGATTACGTTTTGTAGCACAATGAGTCTCATGGACATATACAACTTAAGCCTATCACTTTTTCTCCTCGGTGACAGAGACTAGATTAATGGTGCGATCAGTATTTCTGAACATTTTTTCAAACCTTACTGAAAACCAAACAAGGCATTTAACTATTAAGATTGCTACTCGGCTTTTCTATGCAGATTTCGTTTTGTCTTGAAACACCCACATTTTCATAGTACAGTTTCTCTTATAGAAAACTTATTAGGTGTGAGACTGCACAATTTTTTTTTGACTGGAGAATGCTTTGTCTACCAACGGGTAATGGGGTGCTTCACGCCATTTCTAGAGATGAAAATGGTGATTTTTTCAACAACACAACCCTCTCAAATTAACCATAGATCCTCTTGATCGTGGTGAAAGTGAAAAAAAATTATATGATTTCGTTATATGGCTCTTAAAGATACCAAGATATGGTCTGCAGAATTCCACATTTGGTTGCTAGTGATGGGACGTTATATAATGCTGGTGAAAATGAGGAAATTACCACTATCGTAAGTGATCCAGTGTAGTATGACAAGACCATAAGGACAAATCAAACAGTAGCAGATTCTGTATGAAAATAGTGAACAATTTTGATGTCATTAAGTAGGTCTTGGTCCAACTCCATTGACAGCTTTTATAACACAGTCCATTTCCCAAGTCGCCGACTTGCTGGAAGTGTACTGACACACAGCTTTGAACTGATGATTACCCCTCAGAATAATAACATGTAGACAATAATAACATGTAGACAATAGATAAGTAGGTTCGGAGGCATCAGGTCTGTTCATAAACTTTAGCAAAGAATGTTGAGCAGGGCATGGGCTACTTCGGTTCTTGGGGAGAGAGATAATATAGAGATAAAGATATTACAATATTATCTCTCTCCCCAAGAACCGAAGTAGCCCATGCCCTGCTCAACATTCTTTGCTAAAGTTTATGAACATACCCGATGCATCAGATCCTACTTATCTATTGTTTACATGTTATTATTGTCTACATGTTATTATTCTGAGGGTTAATCAAGGGGTCTCAAAAAGCTTAAGTCATCCGAACTCTCCCTTGGCTGCTTTACGTGTGTTGATTCCTAGTGATTACTAGGCTAGTCAGTAAAAACCCACTAAGGCTTACAACAACTTACTTCTATTTTGCTAGTAGGAAGGAGGCTGAGGAATTGATACTCTTCAAAGAAATGGTTAAAGGAATCTTGGAATTGAAGTCGTTCTTTACTTTGAAATGAATCAGATTACCTCCACCTTTTTTTTCTTTCGGCATAAATGGCGGGGATGTTACCCAAATGTCTGAATGTAATTTTAATAATAACAATCCTAGGTCGTAGGTTGGTAGACAGCAACCACCCAGGGAGGTACTACCGCCCTACCAACTGAGTGTGAAACGGAAACCTGTAATTGTTTTACATGATTGTAGGATTGCTGGTGTATTTTTTTCTGTTTCATAAACACGTGGGATACCAAATATATCTTGCTACTTCTACTTACACTTAGGTCACACTACACACACATATATATTCATACCATCTGGGTTGTCTTCTGTTTTCTTAATAGCTCTTGTTCTTTTTTATTTCCTCTTATCTCCGTGGGGAAGTGGAACAGAATTCTTCCTCCATTAGCCATGGGTGTCGTAAGAGGCGACTAAAATGCTGGGAGCAAAGGGCTAGTAACTCTATCTGTATAAATTACTAAATTATAAAAAAGAAACTTTCGTTTTTCTTTATAGGATACCCTCCCTCGGTGAGACAAGGCCGGTTTGTTAAAAAACAAAAAAAACAACAAAAAAAAAAAACAATAATATTGTGAATTGTAAAATTTAATTTTCAAGGATGATTCCCTTTCTCTTCTTTTTTTTCCATGCTTCCTGGCTAAAACATGACTGCAACATTCCACTGAATCTCTGTGAGGTGACAGACTAAACTGAAACACAGGAGACTGACTCTTCTCTGCTTTCTGAAGCAGGTTTCTGTGAGGCTTTAGCTTCCCTCTTAGGTACACACAACCACTGCTCATGCAGGATCAGAGCTCAGACTTGTTCCTCAACGCAAAGTCAGCTTGCGATTCATCTTTGCAATTTTTATTACAGACAGTTGATATTACACAAGTCACTGTTTGTAGACAGTGTCACATCTGTATATTATGGTCAATTATCCTTCTTCATTTAATTATACATTCAAGTTTTTTTGCTGATTACATAAGTGATTTCAACAATGAGCTCTTACTGAAACATGTGCCCATTGTCAGATTTGATCCTTTCATTCGCCCTTCTCTTAACCAACATAAATTGCCGAGCAACGTCGCCAAACTCATGTTTTACAGCCTCGAGCTTCCCTCAAGGTGTCGTCAATGCTTTAATTTTAGTTACCTTGCAAGGTATTGTCGGTCATGAATCGAATGCCTTACTTGTTTCATCCCTACTCACAATATCTCTTCTAACAAACAATTCTGAGGCTTATTTTTATTTCCGTTCACGCCATTTCTTTTTAAGTATTGTGTAATTTGCTTTCTGATGAAGAAAGCGTGTTACCCGTCTTCAGCATACTGAATGCCTGCCATTAACAATATATGTGCAACAAATTTGAAATACTTTCTGCCAAGACCCCTTACCCCTCTGCCTGTGCTTCTCCCTCCTGTACTCTCATCAATTAACCCGTCTCCTTAGTTTCCTGTTTTCCCTGCAGTTTGCTCAATCGCCTATTCTCCTTAAATGATAAAAGTTGAGTTGGAGGTTTATCCTCTGTCTCCCTTTCTTGCCTCGGTCTCCTCTCAGTCTTCTTCCTTTTCAGCTCCTCCCTCTTGTCCAACTTCCTTACCTCCTCCCTCTCCTCAGTTCCCAACATATTCACTCGAGCTGAACCCTGTCATAATATCTCCCTTCTCCCATCTCCACGTAAATGTCTCCAGTTCTCCTCTATGGTCAGAATTGATGAAGGTTCAGAGCATTTGGCACACTACATAACCCTGTCTGCACCTCAGGTTCAGATCCACTACCGAGAAACTTCAAGTGTGGCAAGGTACTTGATGATGCAGGATAACCATCAAACTCCTTATTAGAAAGTGATGCTTGAAGAAGTCTCATCTTACTGTGTCTGGTTTGACTTTTCCCTCTACCCCTTCTTCCCCTTTCCCCTCAACAACGTCTTATATCTTCTCTTCATAGCCTTATAGCATACCTTATAGCATCCTTACATTCGTAGGTTCTTGATCTTTTAACACTGCTGTCCAAAGTTGTTCTCTAACTTTCTGATTTACAATATATTATTTATGTAAGGTTTACAATTTAGCATTCGTGGTTGCAGAGGCAGGAAGGAAGAGCTTCAGCTACTGATCCTCCGATTTTCTTGTTTCCACCAGTCTAAGCTTTGCCATATTTGTGGCTTTCCTAGCTCTAGTTATGATTTTTAAACAAACTTTCCACCCTTTCGCCTAATGCCACCTACAGTGAGAGTGCATTTCTCGTGCATATGATGTGTTCTACTCTAGAGACTATGCTGTCTTCATTTCAGATGCCTTCCCCAGTGCCTTGACGTGCTTGTTTTGTCAGCATTTCTTTCTGACGATTTCACCTTCAATGCAGATTCACTCTGCGAGTTCTTAATACCAGTTTGCAATATCAGTTGTGACCTCCTCTTTTATTTTTTTACCAATGTCCTTCCCTGAAGACATTACTATACCACACCTCCTCCAATATCTCTTTCATCTCTTCAGTTTAGTGCTGTATGATACTTACACTATATTTTTGTTTTTGTTTTTTTGTAAATAAAATTATTATTTTTCTTTTTTCCCGTTTCTAGTAGGAAATATGAGGTCATGGCCTTGTCCCTGCATGAAACAGTGCCAGGCCACCATCTCCACGGCCTCTACATGTGGATGAACCCCTCTACCCCAAATTTTCGGAAATTTGTTGATTTCACCAGGAGAACTGATGCACCATCAAAGTTTCCACTTCACTCTGTGTTCTCTGAAGGCTGGGGGCTGTACTCTGAGTTTCTTGGAGAAGAGTTGGGTTTGTACGAGGACCCTTATCAGAGGTAATTATTTCATTTTTACGCTTCAGCATATTTACCTCTTGTTGGAATATAATTCTATATTTTAACTTTCCTAGGTAGTAGGTTGGTGGACAGCAACCACCCAGGGAGGTACTACCGTCCTGCCAAGTGAGTGTAAAACGGAAGCCTGTAATTGTTTTACATGATGGTAGAATTGCTGGTGTCTTTTTTCTGTCTCATAAACATGCAAGATTTCAGGTACGTCTTGCTACTTCTACTTACACGTAGGTCACATTATATGTGCATGTACAAGCATATATATACACACCCCTCTGGGGTTTCTTCTATTTTCTTTCTAGTTCTTGTTCATTTCCTGCTGTCTCCATGGGGAAGTGGAACAGAATTCTTCCTCTTTAAGCCATGCGTGTCGTAAGAAGCGATTGATATACCAGGAGCAAGGGGCTGGTAACCTCTTCTCCTGTATACATTACTAAAGTTAAAAAGAGAAACTTTTGTTTTTTTCTTTTTAGGCCACCCTGCTTTGGTGGGATGCAGCCGGTTTGTTGAAAGAAAGTAGAAGATTTTTAACTTTATATAAATATTAATCTTAGGGTAAAACTTCATCTCCTGATATTTTTTATTTTATTTTACTTTACTTTTTGCATTTTTAAAATGCAGTTTTTAATTCAAGAAATGGTTTACATAAATAATGCTATTTACATTGCTGCATTTGGCAATTACCTCTTATTTTTGAGCTTGAAAGCAAAAAACAAACCAAGATAACAAATCTATGGTAGCTTATTTATACTCTTAATAATTCAAATGTTGTTTTTCCTTATTCAGGCTAGGGAGGCACTCCTATGAACTACTGCGAGCCAGCCGTCTCGTGGTAGACACAGGGATGCACGCCTTGGGCTGGTCACGCGAGCGGGCTGTTGCTTTCCTCTTAGACCACACAGCAATGTCTGAAGAAATAATAGAGGTGAATGAAGGAAAGGGAATATAAAGATGAGGGAAGGGAAAGAACTACAGACATTAACTTTAGGAAGATTATGTATCAACATAGAACAACAGTGGTAATGTAAATGAAAAGTACTGTACTCATTTAATGATATATTATGTAGTACTTTTGCCAGCATTTCAGCAAAGGAGTTTCAGATATGTTAGTCTCATTATATAGTTGTGGAGAACACAGTCAATGAGTGCATAAGCAGACATGAATTACATGTAAAATTATGTCTAATAAGTAGCAATATGTAGCATTCAGAGAAAGTGTCACTCTCTAATAAAGCTGAGTACATTTTAATTAATGATTAGGAATAAGTTATTTTAAGATATCCAAGAGGTGGTATGATTGACATTTCACCAAGATATGTTCAGTTGTGAATGTTACATAACACGAGTGACACATGGGTTGCTCTCCCTTTACTTATATCTCAACCAATATGATGATGATAATAATTTAATAATAAAATAATAATAAGTTGCCTTCTCAAACTTTGAGAAGCCAACTTGTTTCCCATACCGTCTTGTAAGTTGTAAATATTTGTGGAGAGTAATGTTCAAGGGATATGTAAATGTTTATACTCTTCGACGCCGTTGTTCAGCATGTGGTAGACTGGTCGAAATTTCCTGTGGACATATGTTAAGGACTTTTTATTTTTCCGTCTACCCTCAAAAGAAGTTCCTTGATGAAGAATAAAAAGTTGTTGGTGAATTGCTAGAGCGGTTCACCAACAACCCACAACTACAGTTGTGACTTGACAATGATCCAGGATGGACCGTCATAAACTTTCTCTCGGGTTTTTGTTGAAGCAGTTTCCTTAATGCTCATCAAGAACTCTTGATCCAAGGAGCCTTTCCTTCGTAAGATGGAACCTGATTGCCTTCCCTTTCCCCAAATGCTGTATAACCCCTATGGGTTTGGCTCTTCCTCCTTAATCCATGGTGTTCAAAGGCGGAAGGAGGCATTACAGTTATGTTTACATTTGCAAATCGTCATAGGTAACCACACGAAAACGGTCAAGAGGCCCTAAAACTGGTGAGCTTGGAGACATCCAGATAACCTGTTGTTAGTAGCGGTTCACCAGAACCTGGATACAGAAAGAAGTTGCATCACATCTCCGCTCTCATTGCATTTAATAACAAAAGTTCTCAACATACCCCCAGAAAAGTGTTGCCTCTAAGCAAACAAACTTTGTACATAAAAACAGAAATACTTATATAACTTTTGTTTTTCAGATTGAAGTTAACCGCTACATCACATGGCCAGGACAAGCCTGTTCCTACAAGATTGGTGAAATAAAAATAAAAGAGCTGAGACAAAAAGCTCAGAATGCTCTTGGTGGATTGTTCCAGCTGCCAGAGTTCCATGATGTAATACTTCGCTGTACAGGACCACTGAAAATCCTGGAAGAGTGTGTTACCAACTATATTGAAAGGACAATTTTGGTGATTGAAAAAGTTACTGAAGAAGAGGAAGTTGATATAGTCAAAAGTGATACTGATGAAGAAGATGGGTCTATAAACCCAAGTTCCAAAGAAAATGAAAATGAGAATGAATTAGTAGATGAGACAGATGGAGCATCTAGTGCATTAAGTGATAAGAGTGCTGTGATTTTGACTCTAACTGTATTATATTCATTTCTTCCCTATCTAATAAGATAGTCTTCAGAACTATAATCTTCAGTATGCATGGGCTGTATATTATTCTGGCTTTAAAGTATGTACATTAGTGCGCTGTGTAGCTTTTCATATCAAGTCATAGTCATATATTGTATATTATTTCTGCCAAATATATGTATTAAACTTATAACTTGTTTAAGTTTTCTCTCACTTGAATTTCTAAAATATTTTAAACCAGGACTACTTTCCCAGCTGTGATATAAAAGACCTACCATATGAACCACAACAAATGACAGATTTATAGAGTACATGAAAACAAATAAACATAATGCAGTTCAGTGGAAGATAACTATATTCAGTGGTTATAGAATATTAGTAACTATGAGTCTAACACTGAGGAAGTATCTATACCATAAAGATTAAATACATCTTATTGTACAGTTCTTAACAATGTCTCATAAAAAATTAATTTGATGGCTATATTATGGACTACATACTCATTATGTAGGTTGTAATAAAAATCATACCAACGTCAACTGATGTTCTCAGATTTTTAAAGAAGTGGAAGGCCTCAGTCAGATGACCAGTTTAGCCACCTTTCTTCAAGAAGAATCGTCAGTTTGAAACGAATCTCCGTCAACTGGAAATTTAGCACACACATCTCACCCACAGCTAACTGTTAGCTCATCTTTGTGTAGCTTGCAGGAAGCCACTGATTGTCACACATTTTTAACAGTTTGCCCACTGCTGAGGCCTTTTCTTAAGCCAGTATATATAGGCGAGAAGGACAGGGATGGGAGAAAGGAGGAAAAAAGAAATAGGGGTAATAGTAATGCTGGTAGAGGAAGTAGTAGTGGTGTTAGAAAGTAGGGGTAATAGTTTTTGCCAAAAGAGGTATGGGAGTGAAGGGGTGCAATAGTAGTAGTTGTAGTAATAGTAATAAGTAGAAGGTAGAAACAGTAATAGTAGTAAAGGAGTGGTAGTCGTAGAGGTAGAAGTGGGGTATGTGTAAGAAGAAAAGGAGCACTGCCAGGCTAAGGTGCATACTTTTGTCTGTGGGTGGTGGGCACTAACAACCTGATCAGTCAGGCCAGCAACCTAAAGTGATTATAAGTAACCTACAGGATAAAGGAACAAATCAATAAAACATCAGTTTGCAGAAGATGTGCACTTTCATTGTATGAGGCAATAGAGTGCGGAAGAACAATTAAGAAAGAACATAGCCAGAGAAAGGAAGACCACCTGCACCTGTGAAGTTTAGTGTCACAGAAACAAATGCAAAAGTAAACTAGATCAACACCTGAGGCTCTTGCTTGTTTCCTCTGTGTCCTTTAATATTGTGCTACATGATTTCTAAAGGTGATTTAATAGAGGGAAATATAGCGTAAAGGCTATGTGGGTCGATGACCAATAAATTCCAGCTACGGGTATAGTGGGTAGGTCATTAAAGACTTAAGGAGAATGGACTGCATAACAATATCAGAGTAACGTTAGGGGCTATAAGAGAGGTGGGAAGCAGGTGGATGAGACATCTTCAAAGTCCACTTTAATTATTGCCGTTTATTGGTTACATAGATGATGGGAATGAGGAGGAAGTAATCAGGAACTACAGTGTGCTGAGTATCAGGACAAAATAATGTTTATTGGAAATTTTGTGAATTTTTTTTAGTATTTTGTGTTGGGGGAAACAATTTTACAAAATTATACAAAAATTATACATTTTTGTAATGCACTACATTTTTTTTTTTTTGTAAAACAAAAAGTCATGAAAATAGGGAAGCAGTGATTTTTTTTTATCTATGGCTATTGTATGATGATTGTGAAAGTATCTTATGCTAGACTTCAAATTTTCAATACTGGTATAATATACAGAGGCAGGTATCGTTCATTTTGTACTGTAAAAGTTCTTACTGGATTGTAAATCATAAAAACCGAAAACATCTGCGAGAAAACTGAAAACTAGTTAAAACTCAACTTTTAATGTCACGAAGAACTAAATATTTCTTAAACAAGATTTCTTACTTGTAAATACAAATATTTATAGTGTTTGACTGGGCTAAGTCTAGGCTCTAAGGCCTGTTAATGATGTAGATCTCAAGCTCCTGCCCGAATTGGGAGGGTGTAATTATTGCTCCTAGATCTCTCGAGGGAGTTGAGCTGCAGTTCCTCTGCCACTACATAACATGCATACGTATTTCTATATTTTGTTTCATTATAATGGGATCACTGACCTCTTTCTTTTGCATGCATTGAGGTAGAGGGGGCTGAGCTTATAGAATACAGGAGTAGGTTGGTAGACAGCAACCACCCAGGGAGGTACTACCATCCCGCCAAGTGAGTGTGAAACGAAAGCTGTAATTGTTTTACATGATGTTAGGATTGCTGGTGTCCATTTTTCTGTCTCATGAACATGCAAGGTTTCAAGTACATCTTGCTAATTCTACTTACACTTAAGTCACGCTACACATACATGTACAAGCATATAGTATATACACGCCCCTTTGGGTTTTCTTCTATTTTCTTACTAGTTCTTGTTCTTGTTTATTTCATCTTATCTCCATGGGGAAGTGGAACAGAATTCTTCCTCCGTAAGCTATGCGTGTTGTAAGAGGCGACTAAAATGCCGGGAGCAAGGGGCTAGTAACCCCTTCTCCTGTATAAATTACTAAATTTAAAAAGAGAAACTTTAGTTTTTCATTCTGGGCCACCCTGCCTCGGTGGGATACGGCCAGTGCGTTGAAAGAAAATATATATATATATATATATATATATATATATATATATATATATATATATATATACATATATATATATATATAGACAAAACATTCACAAAAATACGATAGAAAATAAAACAACATAGGTAACTCAGAGCTACATCTCGAATACTTCGTCCAGCTCCCCGGCGGTGGGCCGCGTGCCCAGAATGCTGCCGGCATTTCCTCTCTGGATCGCAACACTGAGTCTCTGAAAGAGGAAGCTGGTCGCCCTGTGGTCCTTGGTTTCTATGATAAGCTTTTCACCCAGCTCTATTAGGAACTTTAGAGCACACTTGCCCCATGCTCCAAGGGTCTCCGACCCTATTGGGATGAAGTTATAGCAAGGAGGAAGGTCTTCATATTTGCGGATTTCTGGGTCTCCCTGTGGCTGGCAGCTCCACTCCCTTCCACTTGGGAGTATGGCAAGTAGGTGTCTGCCAATGTGGCGGCACATGTGTAGTCCCAGGAAGGGGGGGGAGGAAGAGAAACAAAAGAGACTCTTGGACAGTTGAGTATAATTGTTCAGTGATCACTAGAATAATGGCAGAGATTCGTTCAGTATTATCGTTTCTTCGAGTGACAGCCTAACATTATAATACAATATGCTCAGGAATTATATTTCAGATACATTGCCAACTACACAAGTTTAACAGTATATGAACGAAGTGTGAGTAGCAACATAAGTTGAGTCAAAACAAGAAGCTCGCCCCAGGAGGAATGAAGCAAGTCTCGGGTCTCTTAGAGAGTGTTCGGTCACACCACAGCAGTTATATTTTGGACCGTCTCTGCTCAGTTACTCGATGGTGTTGGTAGTGGTTGGGTGTGTAATGAAGAGATCTATTGGCGAGTAACGACGTGTGTTTGTCGTGAAGTGATCCATTTCCTTGTAAAGTGACCCGCCTCCATGTAAATTGATCCATATCCTTGTAAAGTGTCCGTATCCTTGTAAAGTGATCCGTATCCTTGTAAAGTGATCCGTATCCTTGTAAAGTGATCCGTATCCTTGTAAAGTGATTCGTATCCTTGTAAAGTGATTCGTATCCTTGTAAAGTGATCCGTATCCTTGTAAAGTGATTCGTATCCTTGTAAAGTGATCCGTATCCTTGTGAAGTGATTCGTATTCCTTGTGAAGTGATCCGTATTCCTTGTAAAGTGATTCGTATCCTTGTAAAGGATTCGTATCCGTAAAGTATTCGCTCATTGTAAGTGATCGTATTCCTTGTAAAGTGATTCGTATCCTTGTAAAGTGATCCGTATCCTTGTAAAGTGATCCGTATCCTTGTAAAGTGATCCGTATCCTTGTGAAGTGATCCGTATCCTGTGTAAAGTGATTCTATCCTTGTAAGTGATTCGATATCCTTGTAAAGTGATCGTAATTCCTTTAAAGTGATACGTATCTTGTGAAGTGATCCTATCGTTGAAATGATCCGTATCCTTGTGAGTGATTACTGTTATATGGATGAAATGATTCTTTGAATGTACCGTATTCTTTGAAGTGATCGTATTCCTTTGAAGTGATCCGTATTCCATTGTGAATTGATCCGTATTTCCTTTGAAGTGATCGTATTCCTTTGAAGTGACCCGTATTTTGAAGTGATCCGTATTCTTGAAGTGATCGTATCCTTGTGAAGTGATCGTAGTTCCTTGTGATATAGAATCCGTATTTTGTGAAGTGATCCGTATTCTTGTGAAGTGTCCGTATTCATGGATAGTGATCGTTTCTTGTGAAGTGTCCGTATTCTTGTAAGTGATCGTATTCCTTGTGAGTGATCAGTAATTTTGTGAAGTGATCCGATAATTCCTTGTGAAGTGATCGTATTGCCTGTGAAGTATCCGAAATATCCTTGTGAAGTGATCCGTATCCTTGGTGAAGTGATCATTCCTGTGAAGTGTCCTATTCTTGTTGAAGTGATCCGTATTCTTTGAGTATCCGTATTGCTTTGGAAGTGATCGTATTCTAGATGAAAGGATCGTATCCGTTGAAGTATCCGATCCGTGGAGTGATCCAAGTCCTTGTAATTGATCATTATCACTTGTAAAAGTGATCCAATCCTTGAAAGATTCGTATTTGCTGAAATGATATCTTGATGAAAATCTTGCTGTTGTGTGGCATGTTCTTATAAAAGACATTAAATGTTTGAAGGTATGTAATGTTGTGTGACTAATCCTGTATTCGTTAACCCTGGTATGCTGCTTAGTCTGATGGATTTAATTCGTGAATTGACCATATTTCTAGCTTGAAATCTTGCTGCGTCACGTCTAGAATGAGTAAATAAATCAATCATAGTTTTTCTATGCGGATAATAGAAGCGGTTTTTAGAGTTTCTGGGTTAGGTTAGACTAGGTTTTTTTTCTCTCCATAAATTACAATCAGTCATTAAAAAAAGAGGAAATAATTTAAATACAAGATGAAAGCAATGAAGTGTTGTGC